TGAAGACTTGAAGACTGCTATGATCTCTGTACCAGTCCCCAGGATTCCAGATTTCAATAAACTGTTTGTGGTAGAGACTGATGCCTCAGGAAAAGGGTTGGGAGCTGTTTTGATGCAGGAAGGGGGACCTATTGCATATATGAGTAAAGAGCTATCTCCTAAGCATTTAAATAAATCAGTCTATGAGAAAGAATTGATGGCCATTGTGTTTGCCGTACAAAAATGGAGACCTTACTTACTGGGAAGGAGTTTTGAAATCCACACGGATCAACGAAGCCTGAAATATTTAACTGAGCAGAAAATTATGGGGGAGGATCAGCAAAAATGGATCGCAAAGCTCATGGGGTATAATTTCATCATTAAGTATAAACCGGGATGTGAAAACAAGGCAGCAGATGCTCTTTCCAGAAGTTTCAATCTCTCTGCCTTATCCATAGTTACATGCCAGGAATGGAAGGGTTTAGAAGAGGAGCTGCAGGCTGATTCTAAATGTGGGGATATCATACAGAAGGTACTCAGTCAGCCAGATCAACACAAGGACTACAAAATGAAAGGAGGGTTGCTGTATTACAAAGGGAAGCTGATGTTACCAAAAGGATCTGGAAGGATCCTGACCATCTTGAAGGAGTACCACGACTCAGCAGTGGGGGGGCATTCAGGCTACTTCAGGACTATGAAAAGGATATCCGGTCTTTTCTTTTGGCCTGGAATGAGATCCGACATCAAGGACTACATACAAAGTTGTGACACTTGCCAGAGAAATAAATACCAGGCTTTTGCAAATTCCTGAACACATCTGGACAAATATAAGCATGGATTTTATAGGCAGATTACCTAAATCCTATGGGAAGGATACTATATTAGTGATTGTGGATAGATTGACTAAGTTTGCCCATTTTCTGCCCTTGTCACACCCATTTGATGCTAAGGAAGTGGCTGAAGTTTTTGTCCAGGAGGTAGTCAGAATTCATGGATTTCCCAAGTCTATTGTCAGTGACAGGGATAGCATTTTTCTTAGCAATTTCTGGTAAGAGCTGTTTAAATTGGCAGGGACTCAGTTGAGGTATAGTACTGCATACCATCCCCAGAGTGATGGTCAAACTGAAGTAGTAAACAGGTGTGTGGAAACTTACTTGAGGTGTGTAACTGGAAGTAAACCGAGGCAATGGGTGAAGTGGTTACCTTGGGCTGAGTTTTGGTACAACACAAATTACCATCTCTCTCTCAAGAATACTCCTTACCAAGCCTTATTTGGACAGGACCCCCCTACCATAATAAGAGGAGATGTGAGTTTAACTGTTGTAGCTGAGGTGTCTAGACTGACAGCTGAGAGAAATGAGATCCTGAAGGAATTAAAAGAGAACCTGGCCAGAGCTCAGAATCTGATGAAACAACAAGCGGACAAGCACAGGAGGGAAGTGGAATTGAGGGTTTGAGATCAAGTGTTCCTGAAAATACAACCCTACAAGATGAGGAGTTTGGCAAGAAGGATCAATCAGAAACTTAGCCCCTGATTTTATGGCCCTTACGAAATCATAGAAAAGCTGAACTCTGTGGCTTTCAAACTCAAGCTGCCTAGTGATTGTAGAATACATCCTGTATTCCATATTTCCTTGCTTAAGAAGATGTTGAAACCTACTGTCCATTATCAAGAACTTCCTAGTTGTCTTATAGAAGATTGTGAACTACGAGTACAACCTGCAGAGATTAGAGAAGTCAGAATGAATCCAAAAGGGAAGAGGGAACTCCTGGTACATTGGCAGGGACTTCCAGAGTTTGAGGACTCCTGGGAAGAAGAACAGACAATCAAAGAGCAATTTCCAGATTTTCAACTTGTGGACAAGTTGGATGTGCAGGAGGGGAGTATTGATAGAGACACGTGTGCAGCTATCAAGAAGGATAGATACTATGGTCAAGTTTACTCTAGAAGGAATAGATTAGCGGTTTGATAGTTATTTTCATTTAAATAATTGTAACTGCTTTTCATAGTTGGGGGGGGGGGGACTTTAAATAGAATAAGGAGAGTAACGGAAGGCAGGCAGTTAGATCTTTGGATAGGGACTGGGAGGAATTGAGACGTGTTGTCTCTTTCCTTGGGACTGCGTACGTTGTTTTCCACGCTAGGAGAACTGTATTTGACGTTGGCTTTTATTCTATTATTTCTCTACCATCACTGCACGGTCTTTTTCTTCCCCCTGTGTACTCTATCAGAATCAAGTGTTTCCAATAAAATAAATATAAGCCTGCCATATCCCATAATCCCAACCATGCTCGTAACCTTTGGTATTAGAACCTCTTCTTTCGTTACACAAGAATGTTGTTCGTGGGACCATTTTTTGCGTCTTCCATCACAAAAGTTGAAGTGCACACAGTCTCCTATCCTTGTCATATACATGCCTCTGATGAATTCGGTGGAGGTGGGGTGCAAATATGGTGTTTGAAAGTTTAGCAGTTCTGTTTGATCCTGAGGAGAATTAGCTACAAGCTTGCGGTCATGGAGGATGTAATAATACATGTTAATGACTAGCACATGAAGAGAAAAGAGACCAAGCTTGAGACTAGTTACAAGTGTTTGGTCGTTATGATGATTACATGGATTCATTTTACTACATAGTATATAATTAAATAAAGATTATTAGGTAGTTATCTAGTCTAGTTGTTATTTGTATTCTGTACTTATTATACCTGTCTAAGACTTAGTTACTATATTTAATTGAGACTCCGTATACTCTCATTATATAATGGGTACTTAGTATACTCAATTTAAGGTGGTTTACCTGAAAATATTATTTGGAATATGTTTTCTGATTTTCCTGTGTTCGGTACATGAAAACATTTTTCAGTAACATTTTCTTGTGTTTGGCACAAGAAAGTAAGGAAAATATTGTCCTTCATTCCTCAGACTTGAGGAAAAAGACTTTCCATTTTGAAAGCAGGAAGTTTCTTCCTGTTTTCTATTTTTGGTGATACATTATACTACTACCTCCGTCCCGTTGGAAGGTTCCCATAGCAAAACGGCACGGTTATTTAGGCAATAATTAAATAAAGTACTTCGAGTATATTTTGAGAAATAATTTTAATAGGTATATATTATAATGTAGTTAGTATTGATAACTGTGATGTTATAAATGTATAATTTTTAATATTTAATGATTGATTTGTCACTTAAGATTGTTAATTGTTTCCTAAAATGGAAATGAGAACCTTCTAACGGGACGGAGGGATTACGTATTATTTCTAGAACAACTTATTCTGCTGGATAACATTTCGTAGAAAAGTTATATTCACAGACTAGGAATTTGGAAAATATCTTCCACAACTAGTTATTTGTTGGAAACAAACGGGACTTATGATTTCTTGAACTGTTTTTAGTGGATTGTATTGGTTCATGGCTCTATGGCCTGCTCATATGTCCTACAATAGTATATGACACTTTCTTTTTGACTTTCTGGCACTCTCTGAGTCTCTGACCATTTAAGAAGCTTGCGCATCAAGTGATTTATGAAACAAAGACATCTTATCTCGTTATTGTAATGGTGTTGTGCTATGTTTTTGGTGCGCATCTTCTGATTGCCTGCCCAGTATGTTTATATGGGTTTTGATTTTCATCAAAGTCTTGATTTTCATGAATACGTAGTGACTATTTCCAAGTCTAGTTTCTCCATTAAATATTGATTCTGATTTGGAATTCTGTCAGGTTTGGCATTATGGGCTTGGTGACAAATTACTTGGGTGTTGGCCCTCGAGCAAGCAAGCAAAGTTAAGTGACTGTAATAAAGCTTAATTTGTCATTTTCCATTTGCTTTATGTTTTTATTCATTCACCTATGTTCTGAAAGTTAGCCTTTTTATTTATTTTTCTGTTTGGTGGCCTCTTTATGTATTTATTATTACACCGTCTGTCCCAATTTGTTTTTAGTGCTTTCCTTTTTCATGCGTTTCAAAATAAACTTCAGTTTTTTTTATGGTAATGAGTTCACGGTTCATATCCATTTCTCTATTCTCTCATAACTCTCAATTACACAATTTTCTTCTTAGTCTGCTGCAAAGTCATACGGGAAGATAATATTGGGACATAGGGAGTAATTATAAATAATGCCTATCAAGTATCAACCTTAGCTACCTCATTCTAATTTGACTGCTCAAGTAGGGTTGGTTAATGATGGAAAAGTGGTGCATTCGTTATTCTTTGGCCAAAGCAGTTGAAAGCGTCAACCATATAAATTCAAGACTATATGGTCGAATACTCGAATTCAGTATAGAAGATGTTTAATCCAATATATTTCAATGCAGTAAAAGGTGTATTTAGAAGACTCATTTTCCTAAGGAAAAACATGTAAAATATATCGCAGCTTCCTGCCCTCAAGGAGATGCAACCATAGTGCTAAATCATTTTACAAAAGGCAAGGAAGAAAGTTGGAAAATCAGAAAAGTATAAGATAGCCGTGTTTAGGTGTTTAGCACAGGATGGTTAATATTTTATCCTGATGAATCAATGATGTTTTTAGTTGGAGTAGTTTATTCTCAGATTAGACCATAGCAGGTTTGGACAAGAATACAATACACGTGAACTAGATCATATGGTAGACTAGATCCCAAAATTCCAATTAAATTGAATCTAAAACGTAAGACTTTTTTTTGAACTCCAACTACCAATTATATTAAGGGAAAATGGAAACTAATAATCTTAGCTTTTAATGGTCTTCTTACAATAGTTCCACCTTTTCATTATTCATGAATAATCCAACTTTTGCACCTAGGGGTGGACTTGGGCAGGGCCAACCGGCCCGGTGGGATCTCGGTTTAGGCTCGGGCCCTTCAAAAGGTGAACCGGCCCGACCGGTTCGGGCCCGGGCCAGGCCATTTTTTTTTTTGATTTTTTTTATGTTTTTGGGTTGGGCTGGGTATTTTGGGCCATTTGAGGTGGTTAGGGTTGGTTTGGGGGTGAGGGGGAGGGTTGGGGGTTAACTAGGAAAAGCCAAAAAAAAAAAAAAATAGAACCGAGGCCCGGCCCGGACCCGGGGGTTACCCGGGCTGGTTCCGGGCCTCCCATACCTTGAACCGAGGCCCGACCGGTTCAAGGCCCGAATCGAGTCCATCCCTATTTGCACCCCATCTTCATTCATTGAATCATTGGTCCCTGACCGATTTATGACCGATTTATTATCTTTGTAAGACATTATGTTAGGGGTGGACCGGTTCCGGTTCGGGCCCGGCCGGGCCTCGGTTCATGAAGGGGAGGCCCAGAACCGGCCCGGGTAACCCCCGGGTCCGGGTCGGGCCTTGGTTCTATTTTTTTTTGGCTTTTCCTAGTTAACCCCCAACCCTCACCCTCACCCCCAAACCAACCCTAACCACCTCAAATGACCCAAAATACCCGGCCCAACCCAAAAATTTAAAAAAAATTCAAAAAAAAAAAAAAAATTGGTCCGGCCCGGGCTCTAACCGGTCGGGCTGGTTCACCTTTTGAAGGGCCTGAGCTCGAACCGCCATCCCACCGGGCTGGGTGGCCCGAACCGGGCAACCAATCGGTATATCGGGCCGGTCTGAGCTCGCACAGTAGCGGGCCGGTCTGGTTCTACATTATGTAATCATAAGGTAGGAATTATTGTATAATGTTTTACAAAGATAAGAAAACAACTTGGAATAACATGTCATAAATCGGTCAGAGACCAGTGAATGAAGATGATGTGCAAAGGTTAGATTATTCATGAATAATGAAAAGGTGGGACTATTGTAAAAAGACCACTAAAAGGTTGGATTATTAGTTTCCATTTTCCCTTATATTAATTCACCAAATCGTTCGCCAATGGGTTACAATAACCTCAGGTATAGAATCATAATAACAAATCTGATCTGAGACAACAACGTGTGCTCTAGCCAACGCGTGAGCAACACGATTCGTAGATCGTTTACAAAAAGAGACAATAAAATTACTCTTTGTTTGCAATAAACTCCTAATATCATCCAGAATAAGGTGAAAGTAAGAAGAGTCTTCCCCCTTTTCGATTCCTTGAACCACGGTGAGTGCATTTGTCTCGATTTCCACGTTGATCCATCCTCAGCCACGCAATATATAGCATCTCAGACTCCCTGTGCTTCCATTTCAGCCGCTGTCCAACTAGCTAACTCGGACACCCCCCTCGCCTTGATAAAATCTTTGTGATTGTTCTGTGCTACCCATCCCCAAGCTCGGGTGTTACTTCCTTGTCCGATTGCTCCGTCAACATTTTTTTTATATAGCCATCCTCCGATCTTTGCCAAGCCGCCAGCAAAGTAATATTACTCCTCCCTGGCCATGATTTGCCCCTGTTCTACGCATTCCTTCAGCTCGCCACCACACTGGCCGCCACATTAATGAGCCCGTTGTGCCTTGCCATTTATCCTTCCAAACACACCCATTCCTTCTCTTCCAAATACTCCATAAGATGGAGATAAACCTGGAACGGGCTTCTTTGTCTGCCACCCCCCAGCTGCTCCATATCCACGTGCTCGGTGAATCCGACGACCGCCCCAGGTTGACACGCGCCTACCGCCAAACTTCCTTAACCCGATCACAATAATGAACTGCATGATCCAAGGATTCATCCCCCCCGCCATAGACCTTGCACCCTTCTTGCACCTGCACACCTCTTTTTCTTAAGTTATCCACAGTGGGTAAAGATCCGTCGATAACCTGCCAGCCAAAATATTTGAGCTTCGGGGATATATAAAGATCTCACAACCGAGCTCAATTCGTTCCATCACCCGTGGCTACCTCCCCTGCGAGTAGGCATGGACCGGGCTGGTTCAAGCCGGGCTTTTTCCAGGATGTTGGGCCCGGAACCGGCCCAGGTTGATACCGGCTTCGGGCCAAACCGGGCCGGGCCGGTCCAGGCCCGGTTCAAGGTAATTTTTTTTGGCTTTGTAATTAACCCCCGACCCTCCTCCCTCACCGCCACCCCCAACCCCCCCCCCCCCCCCCCCAAAACACCCAGCCCTACCTAAGGAAAAGAAAAAAAATGAAAAAAAATGAACCGGGCCCAGGCCGGTTCATGAAACTCAAGGCCCGAGCCCGAGTCCAGCCCGCCATACCCGCCCAAACCGGGCTAAATCCCAGAACCGGTCATCCGGGCCCGGTCCGGTTCGGCCCCGCACAGTAGCGGGCCGGTCAGGTTCCCAGGCCGGTTGGGTCCATGCCTACCTGTGAGCAACCGGTAGCAACTTTTAATCGAGAAAACCCCACTCTTCTCCCCTTGCCACAAAAAACCATATCTTCTATCTTGAAAGCTAATAAGAATTCCCAAAATCATTTTCCTATCATCCTCATTAAATAAATTAGCAATCCTCTCCTTATTCCATCGCTTACCAATGATATCCCTGAGAGCAGCAAGATTCATATCTCTTATTCCAGTTGGTTTTGCACCCTGGAGCCACACATCTGCCCAAACCTCGACCTCCACTCCATTTCCCACCCTCCTCCGAATATTATTTTTAAGAATAGCCTGTCTCAAAGATACTACGCCAGATGAAAGAAGGATTATTACCCAATTGAGCATGTAAGAAATCAAAATTTGGGAAGTACATGGCCGTTAACACACGGCTCACCAAGCTAGATGTCTCTGTCACTAATTTCCAGCCCAACTTAGCTAGCATCGCCAAATTAAACTCCTTAATTCTTCGGAAGCCCTAGCCCCCCATATTTTTTGGCTTACACAACACCTCCCACTTCCTCCACCGCAATCCTTTTTGTTCAAATTTTGTTCCATTCCACCAAAAGCCATTCATTAGCTTTTCTATTTCATCACATAAATTATTGGGGAGAAGAAAAACATTCATGGCATAATTGGGCTCCGGTTCGGCCCCGCACAGTAGCGGGCTGGTCAGGTTCCCAGGCCGGTTGGGTCCATGCCTACCTGTGAGCAACCGGTAGCAACTTTTAATCGAGAAAACCCCACTCTTCTCCCATTGCCACAAAAAACCATATCTTCTATCTTGAAAGCTAATAAGAATTCCCAAAATCATTTTCCTATCATCCTCATTAAATAAATTAGCAATCCTCTCCTTATTCCATCGCTTACCAATGATATCCCTGAGAGCAGCAAGATTCATATCTCTTATTCCAGTTGGTTTTGCACCCTGGAGCCACACATCTGCCCAAACCTCGACCTCCACTCCATTTCCCACCCTCCTCCGAATATTATTTTTAAGAATAGCCTGTCTCAAAGATACTACGCCAGATGAAAGAAGGATTATTACCCAATTGAGCATGTAAGAAATCAAACTTTGGGAAGTACATGGCCGTTAACACACGGCTCACCAAGCTAGATGTCTCTGTCACTAATTTCCAGCCCAACTTAGCTAGCATCGCCAAATTAAACTCCTTAATTCTTCGGAAGCCCTAGCCCCCCATATTTTTGGCTTACACAGCACCTCCCACTTCCTCCACCGCAATCCTTTTTGTTCAAATTTTGTTCCATTCCACCAAAAGCCATTCATTAGCTTTTCTATTTCATCACATAAATTATTGGGGAGAAGAAAAACATTCATGGCATAATTGGGCTTAGCTTGAACAACGTTTTTAGCAAAACCGCCTTACCTGCTTTGAATAAAAATCTATTATTCCAATTTTTAATCCTGCTAAAAATTTTCTCTTTTAAATAGCCAAGAATTGCTGACTTGTTTCGACCCACCAGCGCCGGAAGACCGAGGTACCGACTATAGCCCACATCTTTCGGAATCCCAAATAAATTACAGCGGGCATCTTTAAATTGCCCCCCCCCCCCCCCACATTCTGGCTTAAAGATAGCGCAAACTTAGTAAAATTCACAATCTGGCCCGAGTTCTCTTCATAAATAGATAGTATATTTTTCACTGCCATCGCCTCTTCATTTGAAGCCCTGAAAAATAAAAAGCTATCATCCGCAAATAAAAGATGGGTGACATGTGGTGCCCCCTACATACCGCCACCCCATGAATTTCTCCCCTAGCTTATGCCTTTTTCAAAAGCGCACTCAGCCCTTTAGCCACAATAATAAAAAAGATAGGGGGACAAAAGATATCCTTGTCTTATTCCTCGCCCTGGCATAAACGGTCCCAAAAACTCCCTCTCAAATTGTATGTAATAACTGAGGGTTGAGACACATTCCATAATCATGTTCACCCACCTCTCATCAAAACCCATGCGCAACATAATCACGCACAGAAAGTCCTAGCCTACTCTATCATAAGCCTTACTCATGTATAGTTTTAGAGCCACATGTCCCTCTTTACCATGGCATTTTCTTTTCAGGAAATGCTGGGTTTCAAATGCAACAATCACATTATCCACGATCGATTGTCCCAGAACAAAAGCACTTTGATTTTCCCCAATTAAATTCCCTAACAAAAATATTTTATACACCACATTACACAAAGCTATAGGTCTCCAATCCCCCATAACTTTAGGCTTCTCGTTTTTAAGGATTAAAACCAGATTAGTCACATTAAGCTCTTTTGGGATGGAACCCGTAACAAAAATATTTGAGCATAGTCTAGTAATTTCCGAACCAACAATATCCCAAAAATTCTGAAAAAGCGCTGGATTCATACCGTCCTGGAGCCTTCTCAGGATGCATATAAAATACTGTTGTCTTCACCTCCTCCTGGCTTATTTGCCGTAATAGCATCCTATTGTGTTCGGACGAAACTTGTACAAATTCCCCAAAGCAATCCGCCACCCTTGTGGTCTCTCCTTGACAAAACAGGTTCTCAAAATATTTTTTCACCATGTTGCCTAGCTGCTCTTTCTCCGTGCACCATGATCCATCCACCATTTTTAATCCAGCCAATTTATTTCTCGGCCTCCTACTCTTTACCGCATTGTGAAAAAATCGAGAATTAGTATCCCCCTCTTTGAGTCAGAATTCCTTCGCCCGTTGTTTCCAAAATTGATTTTCCTTCTCCATCAATGAGTGTAGGACTGACTGCACCCTCAAAAATTCAGCCGTGTTCCTCCAATCATCACGACCCCGTAGCCATGCCAACCTCCTCTTGCATGCTTGAATCTGTTGTCAGAAACCTTTCTTTCGACACCCATCCCAACAGAGGAGTTCCTTGCCACAGAACAGGATTCTTTCACGAACCGGCTTGCGCTCCAGCTATTAGTCACCATAGTCCGGCACTCATCTTCTTTCAGCCAATTATTTAAAAATTTGATTTTTTTTCCTTACGAGTACTCACCGACGATATGACCTTCACCCATAATGTCATATGATCACTAACCAGGGCTTCCACCGATGTAGCCTGTGCTACCATGTATCTATTCCACCAGTCATCATTAACTAATATTCTATCAAGCTTCTCTTCAACCCAATAATTTATGCCTTTCCCCCTTTCCCACGCCCACTAGTATTCGCTAAAGGGGAAGTCTCGCAGCCCACATGAAGCCACTGTCTTTCCGAATCCTCTTAGCCTCCAGCCTGGATGAGGAATTCGCCTTTTCTTCTCCGAAGCATAAAGGATATCATCGTGATCATCCACGTAAGCGAATTGTTCTCTGCTAGACTTCTTCTTCTTCTAGTCTCCAGGAAGCCATAGTAGAACGTTATCCTCCAAGGAGGGTCGTTCACTGCCAGCCGGATCATCGCATCAATGAAGTTCGAATGGCATTGACCTACGTTGAGCTCCAACTCGTCATTCCAGCCAACCACTACACAGCCGTTCAGCCCCTCACCGTCTGTCCCTGCACTCTACGTGAAGCCCTGCGCACGTAGCAGCTCCTTAGCCCACTGACAATGAAGCTTGGTCTCCATTAAAAATATAACTGACCGGCGGTGGCACTGAATGATGTTCGTCAAGCCTTGAATTGTTGCCGCATTTCCTAGCCTTCTACAATTCCAACTGATGATGCTTATAGAGCCGCCTCCTTACCGGATGTAGCGAGCAATCCCTCGCCGCTGGAATACCGCTAGGACTGGCTTAGACCACGGCCGCCGGAGTCTAAAACTTAAGATTTGATAAACAAAAATGGGACATAGAGAGTTCTGACTAAATGGGATAAAAGAGTGCGTACATCATGCTCATAATTTACTATTCATAACTTAGAATCTTTAGGGGTTTCTTTCCGTGCGGATCCTACATAAATTTGGCTCCGAGTCAAGCTCCATAAAAGGACCATATATGTAATACTCTCTCTGTCCCGTTAAGATTATCCCATTTTTTATTTTCAGGAAATCCCATTAAGATTGTCACATACCAAATTTTGTAAAGTTGTGTGGTTCTAAATCATTTTTATTTTATTCTTACTTTATCAATTCAATATCAACCACATAAACTCATTTTTCTTAATAATCGTGTCACCCTCTCATGTCTCAATGTTAGTGGGACAGAGATAGTATTTGTTTGTAGTATAACATATTTGAAAATAAAATGTTAATATCACAAAAACTCAATACTTAAATAAAATTCTTACATTATAACATAACAATACTTAACTAATTAAAACAACTAATTAAGTACAACTTCCCGAACAACATTACATGTTAAAATATTAATCAATTTGGCATAACCAAGTTCTTCAGTAAATTCCTTCTCAATTCATCGATAATATAACTAATCCATTCAACCTTTTTAGATGTACAAGGTTAATCGTAAAGGTGTCTTTATAAGTTTTAGTTTTGAGAAATCGCTTTCTACATTTGCTAAATATTTTCACGGGTACAATCACCAAAATTTTATATGCAAATTTGGGAGTTCTAGTTTGTACTTCACTCACTACTTGGTTGATAACTCTATTGTTCCACCTGTTTTTGTTCTTCTGTACACTTTTTGAAAAGTAGGAAATTTTCGGTACCGTAACACTAATTTTACTTTATTAAAGTGTATTGTAGTTACTTTTGGGATGCACTATTTCCTAAAATGGAAGTGAGACAGTTATTTTGATATGATCAAAAAAAGAAAATGAGACACTTATTGTGATACAGAGAGAATATAATATAAAGATGGGGTTTTCCCTAAATATCAATGTTCTAAAAGGCGTAAGGCGTGCCGAGGCGGCACGTACAAGCCTTGAGCCTTTGAAGCATAGGCGAGTTTATGCGTCGCTAAGGCGTGAAAAGGCGTTTTGAATTTTTATTAAATTTTTAAATTTCTATATTGGTATTAGTAAGCATGTAAATATATGTATAAGAAATATTCATGCATAAACAATATATGTTTCTATTTTCTAACAAAATATTTTTGAATAGTTTTAAAAGGTAAAAATTTAGATATACACACACAAAAACTAAATATAGAGAAGAAAGAATGGTATAACAACAACAACAACATCAACATCGCCCTCATGTACACCATGTAAGGATACATGTATAATCATTTATTTAATTGGGATGAATATGAATCTCGCAGAAGTAAAAATGGTCAAGAGCGAGTTTTGCGATTTAGGTTTGAGTCTTAAATCTTTTGTTAGGTCATATGATTACTATTTCCCATTAGTTTGCACTTGCTTGGTGCTTTATGTCTTAATTATTAGGGTTCAGCTTTAAGCGGGTGATAAAGAATCTAAATTGATCATGTTTGGATTATAAGTGTGTGTTAGGATTAGTGAATCATATTGCTTTTATATGGGTGATTAAATTGAAAACTGATTCAAGGATTGATGATCGAGTCATGATTTTCGTCTGATTGTAACTTGCTTATTTTCCAATTATTTAATATAAGCTAATTAGTATAAAAATAGCAATACAAAATATTAGTAACAATAGGAACGATTGTCTTGATGCTCATAATAACAATGATTATAATCTTTATAACTTTATATAATACTACGTATAAAGTAACAAAGTTGGGGCAACAAATGGAGTGAAAAATCCTGCCCAAAATAAGGACAAAATAAGGAATTAATGAAAAGCAAATTTAGTAATTAATTAATTGTATTAGGTAGGGAATTTAGAAATGATGTGCTAATAACATACACAATGTATGCACGTAACATAACGTCTGATTTGGTTTCATTTTATAAAATTACTAGTAATAAGATACGATTAGTAGTAATACTGTATAGTGATGTTTACATAATAGTATCATATATTTACTACGAGGTAGTTATGTGCTAATTTCATATCAAAATTCGAATGTTCAGTCCACAATTGATGGTGTAGAGTTAGGTTGTGGTTTATAGTTTATACGTGGCTTAATTCTATGTAATATGCAGCCAAGTTCAATTTCAAAGCTAGGAACTTAGGAAGCACAGATAGTTTGCTTTTCAGATTTCGTTTTCTTCTACACCTCCTTTCCCACACCGGATGAAGAGGAAAAATAATCCTCCGAGTGAGTTAATAAATACGAGTCATTCTCGCTAGTGCTTGACGTTCTGTACGCTAGCTATTTAAGCCTTAAAAATTGGTGTTTTCAATGGTTTTTTGGGTTGGGAGCCTTTTACCTCGCCTACCAAGCATGCGGGGCGTTTTGTATAAATAAAATAAATATAATGCATTTCATATTCATACGCATTTTTTTGTAATCCTTTTTTGTAATCATACACATTTTTTTGTAATATATTTTTTCATAGTCATTTTTCTGTAGTATATATTTATCATTTTCATACTTGTATTTTTAGAGGGGTTTTAAGGTATTGAGTATATTTATTTTGATTTACATTTGACAAAACTTGAGATCACATTTGCATATGTGTAGTTTACATTTTCATATGTCTGCGTTACATTTATACACGATTAATGAAGTTACATTTAATAATACATGAAGTTGTATCTTGTTATGTGCGAGTTATTTTTTCATGTGCGCGAGTTACATTTTACAAGTGACATATATATGAACTTGTCTCAGCAAACGTACATTTTACATACATGCGAATTACACTTTCGATCAGCGCGAGTTACATTTGCTATAATGTGAGTTACATCAAAACCACTGATCATGCATATTTTTAGGTGTGTCAGTATGGTTGGACTCGGGTCGGGCCACCCGGCCCGTGGACCGGCCCGGCCCGCTACTGTGCGGGACCGAGACCGGCCCGGTTCTCAGGTACGGGTCCGGGTCGGGCCTAGGCCCGGGGGGGTAGGGCGGGTCCGGGCTCGGGTCTCAATTTTGGTGAACCGGCTCGGCCGAGTCGGGTCCGGGCCAAATTGATTTTTTTTTATTTTTTTTTCATTTTTGGGGTTCCACCCGGGTTGGGCTTGATGGGTAGGATGGGTTTGGGGGGGTTTGGGAGGGTGGGGGTGAGGGGTGGGGGTGAGGGGGGGGGGTTAGGAAAGCAAAAAAAAAAAATCCAAACCGGAGGCCCGGCCCGGCCCGGCCCATCCCGGACCGGACCGGACCCGGTGGCTACCCGGGCCGGTCCCGGGTCCACTATTCTTGAACCGCCGGCCTCTAGGCCCGACCCAGACCCGGCCCAGACCCGAGTCCATCCCTATGTGTCAGTATATTTTTTTTTTAAATATATCATTTTTATAGTCCAGATATATTCATTATTTACGTACAATAATTAACAACTAAACTCATTTTTTAATTGTTTAAATTGAAATCAATGTTTTATTTCTTATACTCTATACTACACTTGTACATTTCAATTTGCATCTAGTTACATTTTTCATCAACCTGAGTTATATTTCTTTAAATAAGAGTTAGCTACTAAAAAAAGCAACTGTTAACTTTTGCTCACCATGAATTACCCACGGTATAACAACTGATGTTGTATGGGCTGATGGAGTTCATTTGAACGGAATTCTTGGGGTCCCAAAGGAGAGACATGGAGGTAAATATTTGGGTTTGCCGTCATTAATTAATTGGGCAAAAAAGGGAAGGAAATATTCTGATACATTCAAGGAGAGGGTCATACAGTGTATTTAGAACTGGAATAGTAATTTTCTATCTATATTCTATAGCATGGCAGAAGGTCCTGGCTCAAGACGTTAGGAACGCATATTAGTGGAGGAGACATGTGCTCAAGGGAAAGGGGACATCTGTTACCTATGTATGCCTCCTGATTGATTGTTAATTTGCTGAAGAGTGATTATCATTAATAAAGTTATTTGATTTCAATAAAATAGTTTGCATTATTCTAAATTACATCAGCACAATCGCATTGAAAATAATAAAGAATCGACTAGGGGCGATTGCGCTCAACTACTTGAGCTCATTATGAAATTTCCTTCCATCTATGCCGCTTTCGTTCTGTTCTTCAGAGTGCAATGGTAAATAAAGGCTGAAAACAAGAAAATTAGAGCATAAGAACTGAAACCATGATCACAAGAGATGTATGTATATGAATTGATGAGAGAAGATGTACCGTTTCAACACTGACAGGCTTTCCATCTTCAATGTGTATTTCAACAACTGTCCCGGATATCTCAGCCTGTCAAAGTTGCAGAAAAATAATTATTTCGGAGGTCACAGGCTGTTAGCCCGACAATGGTAGCATAGTTTATTAGCCGTGACTGAGAATTACTTTTGTACAATTGTGATTTTTTATATATCAGGAACAGATGCCCTCTTACTTTGATACTGTGGTGACAGTTAGTTTGTAATGTTGAAAGACGATGCCTAGTCGGGTTGTTCAATTAAGTCTAACATAATCCTATAAGATCCTTGAACTTAAAAGACAACAAATCCAGAACCCTCATTTGTCAACATAGGTTAACATAGCCTTCTTTGCCCAAGTCGAGCTAGACACCCGAATGAATGGACAAATGGGCCCAAACTGACCCTATAAACCATGCTGCCTCAACAATCATCAAGTAGTTAGATGCCCCTCAAATACACATCAGATTAGGTTCTAATAGACTAACATCGTGTCAAATTGAAGCTAACTCACCCAAAAAGAAGTGGCGAGGTTTACCCCCACATTCAAGGTTGTCATGACTACTGCTATACCTCAACCTAGAATAGACCACCTTTTCACCTAAGCTAAAATAGGCAACCCCGCCTACCTGACAATTAGGCTACAAGTAGCCGGGTGCAGCAGTTGATTATAATATACTCCGTACTAAGGAAAGTATAAACTTTGGTACATAAATTACTAATTTATCATATCAACTAAAAAAAAGTTGAATATCTACAATAGCGAGCATTTTCCACTGTCTCGATGTCTAAGCATCGCCTATAAGACACCATGCAAACCATTCTCACATTTAAGAAAAAAGGAGCCCATTTGAGCAAACTTCAATGTGTGCCTACATTGCCATGTAAGTTTAACGGGAACCATGACTGTATTTCTGTATTTGTTAATGAGGGTACATGACATTTTGCCTATAAGGACTCCTTAGAAGAACTCCACATACCTGCTTCATTCAAACCCAATATTGAAACTCACACACAATGGGGGTTTGGGGAAGGGATAATATAGGTCAGCTTTCCTATTCTTTTGCAAAAATAGAAGGATTCTAACCCGAACCTCCAGGCCGCAATGGGAGAGACTCAACTAGTTGTGCCTATCCCATTCCCCATTTGATCATTTACCAATAAAAATAAAAAGCAGAACTAGTCCTATGTACTTGAAATACTTAGAGATATAACCCACCTCAATTTCATTCATCAGCTTCATTGCCTCAATAATGCAAAGTATTTGCCCTTTCTTAACCATGTCTCCCACCTGGGAAACAGCAAGTGAAATCATGATGTGTTGTGAGAACATGGAAATAGTCTAGTATAAGAGGCCTTCTTGGAGATGCACAAAAGAAGGTAGCATAAGTACGCAAATGGTTTTTCTGGTAGTAGAACTAGAACATGAGATGAAAAAGTAGTTATAACAATATCAACTTTAAAAGTTCAAATAATTGGTGGATATTAAGATCATTATCATTTCTTTTAAAAAGGCCTGCATTTTGATTTTTTTGAGAAATGATCATATGTTGTTACCAGTGTGTCAGATCTACTACGCATCTTTTTTATAGTCCCGATATTTCTCAAAATGTTTTGAATTAGTTATGTTTCTTGACATTTTCCGAAATTTCACCGAGGTTCTAAGGAAATTTTGTTTTCCCCATAATGATAGCTGAGGTTTCAAATCAAAGAAATTTTGATGGAAACTTCAGAAGTATTGTAATATTTTAAAAAATATGGCTACTTCTGCACTTCCTGAAGCCATTTTATGTCTACGGGAGTATAAATATTTATGATAGAAATATTTAATTGGTTAAGTGACCAACAGAAATCATAAATCCGTCCTTCTAGTGTAAACTTCTTACTTGTTCCATTTTACATCAAATGATAGAAACATTAAACACAACTTGCAATGTTATGCCCAAGTGAAAATTTGAGAAGTTATTCAAATTTTCCTCGCATAAACATGGATAGCAGTTAAAAAAAATCCTGAAAAAAACTACTTTGTAGTTTGTACCCAACAAGAGATCACGCTTGAGAGGACAACATAAGCACATTTGAGCATAACAATATAAGATACCTTAACATAAGGCAGTGCACCAGGGGAAGGAGCGCGGTAAAACGTTCCAGACATGGGAGATTTCTGTTGTGAACCAGAAAACTTTGGTTTTGCCGCTGCAGGTGGTGGAAGTGCAGGAGCTGCAGCAGGTGAAGGGGCAGGGTCAGGGGCAGGGACAGCAGGTGTCATCAGAGGCTGGGCAATTGGCTGAGTAAAAGAGGGCTGCCCCGTTGAAACATGAGCAGCCCTGATGTTCATCTCTGGTAATGTTTCTGCTTCTTCCTTCCTTATAAGGATTTCACAATCCATTTGCTTTAATTTCACTTCCATGATGTCCTTCGAATCCACAAGCCTATGATCAGAGGAAAATGAATATAAAATGTAGAAGATGAATTTTTAAGACAAAGCAAGTGAAATAAGCAAAAGACTGTCATCAAATTCGTACTCACTTAACAAGGTTCACTGCTTGAGACAGGAGAACTGAAATGGAGGAAGCATCCGATACTTTCTTTTCAGCCTGGGGAACTTCTTCCTCAACAATAACCTTTGAATTGCCAGATTTCTCAACCCCACCATCCTTTGCATTCCGACAAATCACTAATTTAACTCTCATGACAAAATAAAAGATCACTTTCTCTGTGCTTGGAGAAATTCTCTTTCCTAGCTCACGAACTGGTATGTGAACTCTTGCATGCTCACTCATGCATTCAATAGCGGATTCAGTTAATGTATTAATATACCCGCACGGGTAGCTCAGTTGGTTCAGTGGTGGGAAATTTGGACCAAGTGACCAAGGTTCGAAACCCGCAGCGGCCGTGTGGAGGTCACAGAACCAGAAATAAGGCTGGACCTCTGGTGCGCATGGGAAAAAGGCCTACCATCATTGGGCCGACTGAGTCACCGTGATTAACATCCTCCCAAAAATCCTGTCGGGTCGGGGTATGGGGGCTCCTGGGGTGGGAGATTCCACCTTTTTGGACCAAGTTAATGTATTAATATGACTTTTCATTTACAAATGGACTCATAGCTCAACTTCAGTCTTTCTATTTGGGACTCGTCTACTCTACCTCATTCACTTACGCTTCTTCAATTTTCTCCACTTACCCTTCTTCAATTTTCTCCTATCCCATTTCTGATTTCACTACACAGAACTAGAAGAATTGGTTCCACTTTCGGTCCTAACTCCTAACTCCATTAGTCTTGTGGTCCAAAGATTATAGATTCTTTGTCAACGGTTGGCCTTTTAGGTACTTTTCCAGGAAAAGTTTAAGGAAATTGATGGGATAAGTGCTCAGAATGACTACAAGTGACAAAAAAATCTACAATTGTCAGAGCAAAAGGTAGAATAATGAAAGTTAATGACATAATTATGAATGATCAAATAGTCACGAGACTACAAGTGGAATTAATTCCAAAGACAATTCTGGATATCTCTCGATAACATCCTATAATCTTCCAGCACCGGGGGGGGGGGGGGGCAACACTTTAAACTTATCTACAATTGTCTGTGTTTTGAATTCAGGTACGAATTCTTCACATTTCTTTGTTGAATCAGTTTTAAAGCTTAAAAAAATACGCACCCATGGGTTACATAAAGTGATTAAGAACAGTTTAAACTAACATGAGTAATTAAGTGAAATGTACCTCATTGAGCTGCGCAGAAACCTTCAAGACACCCTGAAGGAGACAAAAGAATTGTTTTTGTTATATAAAGTGATAAAGAAAAATCAAGCCCACACTAGTAAAATTAGCCAAGAAAATATGGGATTTTTTTATATATAAAAAAGAGAGATGGAGAGCAACCAATGTAACCTGATGGCGAGGGAGCGATCTGGAACCTGGCAGAAAACAAACCGAGCTTATATGCTGCGGAAGCTGAGGGCGGGACTGGTAGGAAGCAGCACCGAAAACGGCGGAGGTCTTAGCGGAAGGGACGGGTAAAGAAGCCATATTTACAGACATTGGATGAAACTCGGCGGGACACCCAAATGGGATCAAGAAATGTGAGCAGAGGTTGGAATGAGGACGAGCAGAAATGAGAGAGAAGAAGGTGGGCGTTTTGTTGAGAAAATAAAGAAGCGGTCAGATTGACGAGAGAAGAGCGAAATCGAGAAGGCGATGCGTCCGAGAAGCGGAAAACGTGACATTTGTATGTTGTATTACCATGCAGACTACTTTATCCAAGCATACTTTACTCTGTTGAAGTTGGACACTTGAATATGACTTAAATTGTTCTTATATCGTACTCCGTATTTATCTATATATTGTCGTTTTGATAACGTTTGTTTTCGGCTTATCGGATTTATCAGTCAATTTTTACACCAAACGCGTAATTTTTGTTTTCGCGCGCTGAATTATGTAATAATAAGAAAAAATATGGTTGAAGTTACTTTTCTGACTGTATTGGCTGAAGTTACTCTAGATGACCATTTTAGCTATTTTTACATTTTTTTTCTTTGTTTTATTAATAAAATATATTTTAAAAATACTTTTTTCTTAAATCAACAGAATCAGTCAATACAGTCACTTCAGCCATAACTTCATACATTTCAGCAGAATCAACCAATTTCGTGTTACCAAACGGGCTCATAGTATCAACGTGTTTATATTAAAGTAAGGGATAATAGCTCTAAGGAATTTTATCAATTCAGGACCCGAAAGATAGATGAATTATCAATCCGGGTCCTGAAAGATGAAATATATCGATATAAGACCCGAATGATGGAAAACTATCAATTTAGGACTTGAATGATTGATTGGAAATTATCAATTTAGGACCTAAGTTGTCCGAAATTTTATTAATTTTTTTCTTAAATTTTTTAAATATTATTTAGTTTTATGAAACTAATAAACTTTTGTGAAGACAAGTTTATCAAAAATTAGCCATGGAATTAATAAAAATTAAATAAATCAAAACCTATGAAATTTTAGGTCCTAGATTGATAGTTTTTCATCATTCGGGTCCTATACCGATAGATCTCATCTTTCAGGTCCCGGATTGATAATTCATTTATCTTTCGGGTCCTAAATTGATAAAATTCTTATTTTTTAATTTGTAAGAAATACAAAAAATAATAATAAATCATTTAACTAATACAAAATTCGTAAAAAATATGAAAAGTCTTATTTTTTTTTGTAAAAATACTAAATTAATAAAATTTTAAAAAATTTAATTCTTTAAAAATAAAAAACTTTAAAAATAAATCAATAATGGATAAAACACCTTAAAATATAAAAACACATGGAGGCCTTTTCCACATTTTCGGTCACTGCCCAACTATGTTATCTCTGATCTGTTAAAAATGTCATTTTGCGTAGAAACTGTCATTTTTCGCTAAAAATGTCACGAAGGCGACATTTTTACACTGTCAAAATGTCAAGATGGCATTTCTTACACATGTTGACATTTTTTCGGTGATCAGAGCTGGTGGTGCTGGGAGGTTACTGAGGTGGAAGCATAGACCTGCATATTTCTTTTATATATTTTTTCATTTAGTATTTAGTTATTTTAATTTTTTAAATTTCATATTTTATAATTTTTTATTTTTTGAATATTCTTATTTTATTAATTTTATTTAATATTTATTTCATGTTTTTTTACATTTTTATTATAAACAAAGTTATGTTTTTTACTTTTATATTTTAGGGAAAAGTACGAAAATGTACTTGTGGTTGGACCCGTTTTCAGATAGGGTTATGTGTTTCATTTTTTCTCACAGTGGTTCATGTGATTGAATTCCGCTATCACAACTGGGTCTTGACACCAGACGCCGTTAGAAAATAGTCCCATATTTTCTGGCAATTCTAGTGATAACGGAATTCAAACACATAAATCACTTTGATAAAAAGTGAAACACATAACCCTATTTAAAACGGACTTAAGCACATGTATCTTTTCCGTACTTTTCCCTATATTTTAATTAATAAAGAAATATGATTTGTATTAAAACAAAGCAAGGGTAGAATTGAAAAGTTGTCCTGTTTAGGGAATTTTTAAGTTATGGTCAAATTTTGGCAATTAAAGTTTCATTTAGTTCTATTTGGGGAATTCTCCCTTAAAATAAAGGAAAAATTGATAGTAATAATCTCACTTTCGTCTGATCTGCTAATAATAATATCACACATTTACGTATTCCCATAATAATCCCACCTTTACAGCCCATCTCTTATTGTAACCCTGACTGGTTGATGACCTACTATACTGTTTTTTTTCTCTTTTGTTTGAAAATCTTACATAAATAATCTCACCTTTAGCAAATCTTGAGTAGGGCTTTTCCTTCCTCATAAACACACTATAAAGAACAATTCCAGCTATTAAGAGTATAGTTAAGATAAATCCCCTCCCTCATTTTTGTTAATTTTCCCACATCTCGTAACATGTCATCGGCTCGAATTTACTTCGAATCTCTAAAATCATCATCTTCCCGCATATATAGAGTTAGCCAAAGTTGTTTCAAATGAATTTGAACATTGTTTGATGGATAGTGTCACAACGCACATCATTGTGAGAAATATAGATTATTTTACTGATATGACATTAATTAAACTGATTTGTCATATAATATCAGATGTTGCTAAACTTAATGAAAAGTCTGAAATTATATGTGCGGTTTACCCTAAATGGACAAAGTTAATTATAAAAGACGCATCATACTTCAGTAAATAGCAGAGCAATTTATTGAGTTTTAAGATACTACAATAGTTTGTCTCTAAATGGTTATCATATAATATTAAATCAATGTATGAAAACCAAAACGAGTACTTATATCTAATGACGAATAGATCTGGCAATAAGTATATTTGTGACAAATGATTGTTTTCCTTGGGATTGTGTTACACATATAAGTCCAGGCCAATTGAGATTAATATGATATCTAATAGAAAGATTGAGTAACCTATTACCTTTACTGATCACTTAGGTCAGCCGGGTAGCACTATCAAACATACAATTATTGAAAATTCATTAAAAATGTAAAAGTTTCACAATTAATTGATTTTTGACGTGCTGCTTGGTCTATTAAGAAATTGATTGCTATACTATGTTTGAATAAAATTGGAGTTGAATCTCCAGCATTTGTAGAATGAATTCAAGGATATACTTATAGGCTAATGGTCCCTTCATGTTGATCATTTCAATACTTTAGAATGGTAATTGACGCATCAACACCTTAGTTACACGTTGATATTTTATCAGCTAGAGTTTTCTACATTTCACATATCTTTATGCTCTATACATTTGGGAGCACAATCTTTGAATCACCCAATTAAGAAAGCATGACTTCATAATGCAGGAGAATTTACTTCTCATTCTTTTTTTAACTATTGTTTGTCGATTGAGATGGGTGTGGAATATCCTTCCGCACGTAAAGGGTTATAATTAATTGCTAGATCGATATTGATGAAATCCAATTGATCATCATCTGCATGAGGACATACTATATTACATGCAACAAATTTAATTCAGCTAATGCCAATTTCATATCATAAGACATCTCAATTAGTATCCAGTAAACAACCAAATATATTACACACAAAAATATTTAATCCCGCTTTGTATGTACTAATTACTCAACCGTATCATACAAATATAGATCCACAAAGAAGTCAGAAATTTATACTGGATCTATATCTCTCTCATTTGTAAACTATTTAGAACTTATGACTTACGATTTATTAACAACACAGTTCATTGATTGTCATTTCAATGAAACAATATATTCAGCCTTAGACGGACCTAGATAATAGAAAAAGAGAGCTAGATAATAGAAAAATGGACTCATGTACATATGGAATGCAACAAGTGTATCTTACCTTGATTCAAACACAAATACACGTGAATAAAAAAATTCACGAGACAATTCATTTACAAATATTACAACCCAATTGTGTGACGCCTTCAAAGACTCAATTGAAAGTGAAAGAGTCACATATTTCGGTGAATGCTCATGCTCAAATAAAAAGTCATGCAAAGTATAGTGATAGAACTCTTACAAATGAGTCTATGATACATAAGGAATGTGGTAGGATGCATTTAAATTACATGATGCCTAAAAGTCAAATTCTGCGGACTCATTTTTTCATAAAACTGGGGAAATAATTATATGGACTAAAACAATGTGAACGTATGTGGTATAACCGTCTCAATGAATATTTGATTAAAGAAGGATGTGAAAATGATTCTAATAGTCTTTGTGTTTTCATTCGGCGATCCAAATCACGATTCGGCGTAATTGCATTATGTATTGATTATTTAAATATCATTGGAAATCTCAATGAAATAAACAATATTGCAAAATATTTCATGAAAAAATTGAAATGAAAGACACCGAGAACACACCCAATCAATTCTCCAATGGTGGTTCGATCTCTCAATGTGCATGCTAATCTTTTCCAGCCTTGTGAAGATAATGAAGAAATTATTGGTCCTAAAATATCATATCTGAGTGATATTGGAGCATTAATGTATTTGACTAATATTAAGTGACCGAATTTTGCTTTATCTATATGTTTATCGATAAGATATAACTCTTCCCCAAAAAGAAGACATTAGAACGACGCCAAACATATCCACTAGCTCAACGGCACAATCGATCTTGGATTGTATTACAAGAACGATGTAACAATGAAAAACATTAACTATCACATCATCAAATCACACAGAATTGACTGCTGTGTATGAAGAAAACCAAAAGTGTGTGTCTGGTTGAGACCAATGATTCAACAAATACAAAATGAGTGCAATATATAACACTTATATATGTGATCCTAAAGTGATTAATGGGAAAATAAATAAATTAAATAAATAGCCAAGATTTGGTGTGCGTTAAGTGAGCTTAATGGTTCTAAAAAAAATAGGAACGTTACGTGAAGAAACAAAAATTAAATTTTATCTGTGTAAGATAGATTCTCGGGCGGCATTCGTGTCCGCAGGTCGCGGTTTTTCTTCTCCGTTTTCGGGATTTGATTGGCACTCCCTTGCGCGTGACGAGCACTTTGTCGTAGTGCATCAAAATAAATTCAATACTAACACTTATACGTAGTATAACATAGTAGAGTTCATATCCACAGGGAAATGAATACTTCTCTTTTTATGAACTAGTAATTAAAGGGGGGTTTTGGGGTTGAATGATTTAATTTAATTGAAAACTAAGATGAACAACTTATATGTGATTTAATTCAAAGATAAAAAGAACTTGACTTTGCTACTTTCCATTTGTTGATATATTTAGTCGATCCTTGTTATATCTATAACTTATCCCCCCTCGAATACTCAATCGAGGAGTATATCCAATTCATCGATGG